GGATAAAACAAATTTACGATGGGTCTCATTTAAATTTTGAAGGAAAATGTGGGAGGGCTAATCAATGAGAATCAAAATCCCATTGACAGACTTTCCCCTACTAGAAGCCTAAATAAAAGTACATAATTCATTGATAAAAGTACAAACTTTGCAAATGAACAACATAAACAAAAAAGGTGCAGATGCATTTTTTTTTCCAGACTAAGCAAATTGATATTCTACACTGGAGAGAACTTTCTATCCAAGAAAACATGACAAATTAGCCCTTAGACATTTTAAAGTTAACCATCTAACATGTTCCTTTAGGTATAATAAGAGCAACTAAAAAGCCACACCATTGTACTGCTTCATGTTTTTGTAAAGCTACAAGTTGAGAGCAAATTGATAGATGGTATTAAAATTTTGTTTGACACATGGCCTCTTTATCAAATATAGCATTAGATAAAACCACTGTTGATGCTCCACCAGCAATATATGTTCCTATAGAATTTGAATACAGGTAATAGGTGAAATACATGAGAATGGTTTTCTGATAATCCAAATAACTGATTGCAAAATAACATTTCTTTCCATTTATGGGCCAACTGCATTTTTTATCTAGAGCAAGGAGCCTTAACTACACATAACTGACTGCTAGGATGCCGGTTACCACATAGTTTAGAAAACAAAAAATTTGGTAAGCCATGAGATAGAAAATTACTTAGAATAATATGGACTTATTGCTTCATAAGATCAACTTCACTACCTTCAGGTAATACTTGGTTTGAAGTGATTTTCGGATTGAGATTAAGGGTCCATTTGGTTCACAGTCGAAATCGGAATAGTTTATTCCCATAGCCTGTTTGGTTCAAATAGGAATGAAAATAGGAATTGGAATAAGCAAGAATGAGATTTCATTCCCAAAGGAGAAGAGGCAAGGAATGGCCATTCCCTCAAATGGGGGAATTCCATTCTAGCAGGAATGGGAATGGGATTCCGATTCTGCCTAACCAAATAATTGGAATTGGAATGGCCCATTCTGATTTTGATTACAGACCCCTATTCATGCGAACCAAATGAGACCTAAATTCTAGAAAGAATTCAATCATCATTGTGGGGTAAGTTGAAAGGATAGAGAACATGATTACAGGATTGGATCATGGGACGAGTCACTTCCCAATCAAGTATTTGGTGGTCTATTGGGAATTAGATATACATTCTAGATCATTATGAGTTCTGGTAGTGGAAGGATTCAGCATAAAGTTGTCTTCTTGGAAAGGAAGGTATTTATCCAAAGGTGGGGAATTACTTTAATCAACATCACTTTATCCAACCTCCCATTCAATTTCTCTCCCTCTTTCCCATTTTGGTCAAAGTGGCCAACAGGTTGGAAAAAACTTACTTTGGAGTGGATGGAATGCACATACACATGAAGACACAAATGTGAGAGATCATGCCTCTAAACAAAGCCATCTAAAACCCCTCTCCATTTTGATATGGAAACCTGAACACTACCTGGAAATATCAACACCTAATCCATAATAGGTTACTAATCTCAACTTCATGCTTTATGGAACCCAGTACCTTTATTAGAACTTCAGTTCTTATAATTTTGTGATTGTTATTTGAAAATGTTACTACATGTTAAGGAATATTTCTACCATTCAATTCCCTATATAATTTCAGCTCTTATAATCCCATTTAATTAATACTTCAAACATTCTTTCTAACATCTAATGCTTATTGGTTCATGCAGAAGTTGATGGAGTTTGGCAAAGATTTCGATGGAGTTATTTACATATGGTCTCTACTACATGTGTATACACATGTTACAAGTTTTTTTTTGGAAGAGATACAATTTCCTTTGTTTTTATGGGCAATTAGGGATATAAGATTTTTTTTTTCTTTTTCGTGAAGAGATATAGTTCCCTGACATGATTTTCTACTAAATTCATTTCTGGACTGGCTTCGTTGCACCATCCATAGGAACCACCCACTAAAAGTTTTTTTTTGGAAGAGATACAATTTCCTTTGTTTTTTTGGGCAATTAGGGATATAAGATTTTTTTTTCTTCTTTTTCGTGAAGAGATATAGTTCCCTGACATGATTTTCTACTAAATTCATTTTTGGACTGGCTTCGTTGCACCACCCACTAAAAGAAGTTGCATGGTGTAGGTGTGCTCCCCTACATATATAGTCAGATACACATAAGCACATTACCAATTGATAATCAATACCCATACATATATGAAGTTGTAATTCTACAAGATTATTGGGGCAGCTGTAAAATATCCGATTTAGGTTGTAACATGTCTCGAACACCTTGATCATTCATCTCTTCCCACACTTGCAATCTTTGGCTTTATACCTCAAGTATTTAACACATGAGGACTCACTGGTAGATTGAAAAGACATCATTGCATTAAGTTTCAACCAAAACCATTACATTTGAACCATAAACACAACAAAAAACAAAGACTCAAATTCAAACAAAAAATCAAGTGAGAAGCTTAAACTAGTGTTACGTTTCAGGTAAGAAACACAACCAAAATCATTTCATTTCTGTAAAAACATTATATTTGAACCATAAGTACAACCAAAACAAGGGATGCAAAGTGGATCAGATCGAATACGAATTAGGGTATATCCAAATCCGGTTAGATCTGATAAACATGGATCTGAATTTGAATCCGATAAGGAAGTAGGATTTTCATATCTGATCCAATTTGATTTTTTAAAAATTAATAAATTATTAAAAAAAATAAAATATAACATATTAAATAAAGAAAAACAAAACTACAAGTATCTTTTCAACTATTTTCATCATATATATACATGTTTTTTATAAGAAATAAATAATATAACATTACAAAAATGCAATATAAATAATAAATTTATAAATAAATAAATAAATAACATATATATCGGATCAGATCTTCTCAGATTGGATAGGGAGGTTGATCTGAATCTGATTTGATTTATGGCCGGATCTTATTATCCGAAGATTCGAGATGTGGCTATCCGAATCCGAGAATATAGGATCGGACTTCATATCGGATCGGACTTCATTTGCACCCTTAACTAAAACCAAAGATTCAAACAAAAAAAATCAAGTGAGAAATGCAAACTAACATTACATTTTAAGTGAGAAACACAAATCATTACATTTGAACATCATTTTGGTTAAGTAACAAACACAAACTAATATTTAAACAAAAAAAAAATACGGAAACCACAAACGCCCGAAATCATCTCTTCCAACCTTTTTCCAGCCATTGTTCATTTAATGAACCCTAATTTTCTGATTTTCTCTTTAAAATTTAAGTTCGTCTTGCAAAGGGCAAGATTGTCTTAAAAATACTTAAAGGGTAGTCATGACATTTTGAAAAATTCTAACCATCACATACCATGATGTGACCGATATAATGGAAGGACCGTTAACAAGGACCAAATTGATAGGTTTTGGGGGTTCAAGTACTAGTGGCACATTTTAAAGTTCGGATAGTAACTTGAGATGACCCCTAAAGTATAGGGTAAATTTTCCTAAAAATTTTCATATTAGTCCACTGGTAGGCCCGGTCTGCAACAGTAAACTCAATTGGAGTTAGGAAGGGCTCAGAAAAAAAAAAAAAGAGTTTGGATGGGCTCCTCCATCTCTGTTCAATTCACCTTTTATTGTTTGAAGTAATACCAAGGTTTCAAATTTCAATACAATATGCTTGATATAGGGCGTATTGTATCATATCTTTAAAAATCTGATACGAGATATGGTGGAAAATTGGTGGTATCGTTTTTTTTCCATAGTATCGAGAGCGTATCAATCGATATGCTACGAAAAAGATACGACTAAAAATTGGAAAGGGGGGGGGAGTTTCTTTCCCTTGAAATAAGCCTTATTTCACCCCCAAATGAATCTAAAACTCCAAACCTCATTCCTAGAGTGCTAGATATGCAAAAAGTTTGCAAGAAACAAACGTGAATTGTTAGTTTTTTTTAAGATTTCTCAAATTTTGAAAAAATATGTAAGTTTTTTCAATTTCTTTTATAATATCTTGTGATTTCTTTTTTTTTTCTTGAATGTTTAAATATTGATCTATATTTCTTACATTCAAAATCACAATTCTTTTGGTGTTATGAGTAGATTTATGGAAATTTCATGAAGATATTTGGGGAAATATAAATTAACAAAAAATTTGAAAATTTAATTCTTTCTCTACCTATAAAGACATAATATGCTTTAAATCTATGGATTTATCTATCATATCCATAGAGAAATTGAAATTTATTTTTTAATATTATTTTTGATTTTTTATATTTTAGAATTAAAAAATAAATAATAATTAATTATATTTTATTATTTGATCACAACGATTAAATATATTATAATTCTATGGATAATTTATCATATCCACAAAGCAATTGAAAAATTTTCTTTCTTAATTGTTTTTTTTTTAATTTTTATATTTAAAAAAAAATTAATTATATTTTATCATTTGACCACAATGATTGAATATATTATAATTCTATGGATGATATATCATATCCACAAAGCAATTGAAATTTCTTCTTTAAAAACTAATTTTTGAATATATTTATAATGTTTATTTATTTTTTATTTTTTATTTTTATAAGTTCTGAGAATAAAAAATAAACAATAATTATATAAATAATAAATAATTATTAATTTTATTTTCACTTATAAGTTGAGCCATGCATGTTTTATGGTTGGATAGTAGAATTGGGTTTTTCCCATCCCATAAATTTTAATAATTTCAATTTATTAATTATAGTAAAGAATGAATTTTTAATGAAATTATAATTAGCTATAATGTATTTTTTCATAAAACCATTAATATATATATATATATATAGATATATATATTGAGGTTTTATATTTAGTGTTATTTATATATTTTTATGATTTATTAAAATATTTACAGTATTTTCATATATATTTATACGTATTTTAATTTTTCTACGATCCCGACATCTCTTAAAATTGACTTTCAGATACACTTACCGTTTACGGTTTTGAGCGCCTCGCTAAAGAGCTCCGGAACTGCGAGAAGCACCTCTGCAACCTCTCCCAGCGATTGCCCCCTGCTCTCCGTTAATTGCAGCTGCTTTTCTCCGACTCTAGGCGAGTTTGAAATAGCGTACAAGTTCCATATTCCCTCCCAGACGCAGGTTGAGGTAATTTGGTTGATCTTCATGTTTTAGGTATTTCATCATCTGTGATCGAGCCCCCCAACCCAGGTACATGCGGGATTCAATCACTAGTCTCTGCTACGATCAGCAGGAGACCTTACCAACCAGATGGTTGGTTGGTAGCCACCTGAGACCCAAGTCTCTGCTACGACGGGATTCAAGACCCCCTTCATGTTATTTGAATGTTCGTGTCTTTTGATTGCCACTTGAAGCGCCTGAGCTTATTTCTAAGTTTCCTAATCACTCCCTCATCCATATTCGTAAAGCCCTTTTTCCCAGCCCCATGTTCAAGCAAGAGCATGATCTCTGTTTTATAGCTAAGAAACAGTAGTGATGATGAACATACTACTATTCCGCTAATAAACAATAGTGAACTAACGAAGTTTTTCCTTGTGATATTGTTCCATTTAAGCCTTAATGTTTTCTCAGTTTTTTTGGTATTTTGTTATTTATTGCTCTTTGTGCTTTGGCATCAAGTCCTCTTAGTTAATATTAGATCCGTGGTTTGCTGGAATTAGATCTCAAAGGATGCCTCAGTCTAAGCTTGCTGCACATATTATGTGCAAATGGAATAAAAAATTGTTATTTAAGAAGAAGCCTGATTGGGGATTGTTCCACTTCAGTGGTGGTCAACATCTAACAAGCAGCACTACATTGTGTATTATTTGACGGCTTGTATCCATCAAGAAGTGATACGTGCATTTATAATGTTATAACGTTTGTAATCCTTTAAATTGGTACACTGTCCACAGAAATTTTGTTCTCCTTCAAAAGTTATACAGCTTAAATAAGTTGTTAAGTATATCATACGGGGGCTTGTATCTATCAAGAAGTGATATGGGGGCTAACGATGTTGTGATGCTGTTATCCTTTAGATCACTGGTATGCTCTGCACAAGAAAAAGTTTGTTCTCCTTTGGACAGTATTCAGCTTAATCAGTTATTAAATACATGGAAGCCCCCATTACCATTATAGCAACATATTCTCAAAGAGAGTGCTCAAAGAGAGTGTATGATTGATGATGGATTATCTATTTATTGGGTGTAAGCTTAGTTTAGGTTGTACTTACATAGACCAGCAAACAAATACGCATCCATACCTAGAGTTTAAACTCAAAGCACAGTGCACATTTATGAAGAATGGGGAATTCTGTTTTAGTAATTTCACTTCATAAATTGCTATTACTGCAATACATTTCATGGATGTCTAGTTGGAACACCATTGCTAGGTAATAAAGGAATGCTGGTTTTGATAATTCAGGAAGTTCTAAATTCTAACAAGTAGTTGTTAATGTTGAAAGCAACATTGTCATTTCATAGTCTAGTATAATTTGTTAAGTCTTGAAAACAATATTAATAATGAAGTTTTCTGTTTTTGGCTATTGCAGATAAAGAGTTGCAGTTTGGAACAAAGAAACATAGTTGATTGCCAAACTTGAGCAACAAAATTCAACAAGTTACAGATGGAACAGCCTGGGAGATTAAAGGATAAAATAAGGCCTAACAACAAAGATCTTTTGGAGTTGGAGCAAAAGAAATCTTCCTCCTTAGGTGCCTCTCTCATTTCTGGTTTCTGATTTTGAGTTTTTAGGTTCTTTGCCCTGCTTTTACTAATGCAAATTGATTTTGTTTCTCTTTTACATCATTTATCACAAAATTCCATTTTTAGCTGTTATTTGTGATGGTCTATTTATCAATTAAAGAAGTGGGAATTAGTGGCCATTTTGTTTTTCCTTGATCAGCCACTTACTTCACTCTTTGTCCCTCCAAGATTAGTGAAGTTGAATTATTGATATGTATTTGATTGGATTTTGCAGAATCTGCACTTCTTGTTTGCAAAAAGAATTCACTGTCAAAATTCAATAAACCTCATACCAGCAAGAAACTTATGACAGCCCCAGTTCCGAAGAGTCAAAGTAAGCTTTAATTGCTAGTTTATGGATATCACTTTTGTTTCTTTTAGGTGTACAAGAATATTAGTTGTGGTCTTGCATTTGATAAGAATGAGGTCCTTACATTTTACTATTCTGTACTTTGAGTAAAACTACTACTCTAAGCATAGGTCTTCTCACAGGTTGTTGAATTTTTGTACTTGTTAACGCAAGAGAATCATCTAAACTATGCAAACTTTGATATGACATAAAGATTTGTTTGCAAGTAAAATAAAAATTTTATTAAAAGAAAAAAGAGAATTACAAGAAAGGTGACAGGAATTCACCCAGGAGAAGAAATTAAAAGCACCCCCAAAATCAAGAAAACAACACAAAACAAACAAAACTCCCCATCTTCATTCAACTCCACCCAACAAACCACTGCAGCTCCCAATAGATGAAACTCTGGACACACCAAAATACATCATAAGAAAATAACACGCTATTTCTTCTGAAAGTTTTTATTTTTATTTTCTTATTTCTTCACCTTCTTGTTTGGCCCAATCCCAAATAATCTCCTTTCAACCTAGCATTAAGTTTTTTGATCTAATTCTTTACACGTCATTTATGTAGATGTTTGGAGGCCTTTCCTGTGCTTACTGTTGCTGGCTTCAGACATTTTGTTCTATTTGATTACAAGTTTTCTTGTTATACATGGCTATATTTGATGTGATCTAGAGATGAAGTACCTAATGTTAAAGATTTTCATTATGTGTATCTTGGTTGAGGTGAAGGAAATTCACCTATTGCTGTCTTCTCTGTTGCTTCAGTTTGGTGGAGAACTTTATGATTTGAGGTTAGTGGTCAAAGGAACTCTGGCAAGCTGGATTGAAAATATGACAATATGGGAGGAGGGTAGTGGGTTTCGTTGAGCATTTGGTTCGAACAACTAGAAGTTGAAAAGTGTCTCGGTCAAGGGATTGGCTGAGGTTGGAAATGAGGGTATTTTTCGTAATAAAAAGATTGTTTCTGCTAGTGGGGGAGGTTTGTTGGATATGTTTGATAACTGAGGAAGAGAGGAGGTGAAAAGGTGGGAAGATGGAGGTCAACTGAAGTTTAATTTGATTATTGAACATGTGGATGGCCAAGATGAAAGGTTGTTGGGAAATGAAAAAGGTGGAGGGGTTTTTTTGGTAAAAGAATCGGAAGAGGCATGTACGAAGAAGAGGTGGCGGATTAAGTGGGGACCAATTTTTGAAGTCTAAAGCTATTGGTGTTAAGCCCGGTTCTTTCTCTAACAGGTTAAAAGTCTATAAGAGAAAAGGCTTTAAGTTCAAGCATAGTTGTCAAGGCATGCCTAGGTGACTAAGCGCCATTGGCTGGGCACCTCGCTCAAACTCCTTGACTTTAGCAACTAGGCATAGGCGACTAAGCGCCCACCTAGGTGACAAAACTGACAAGGCGGGCGCCTATTGTAATATGATTTATGTTACTGTATCTTATTAATGTATGTGTTAATACATTTTATTATATGATATCTATATATCTCTATATATATATATCAACTATACTTTGTTTTAATGTTTTACTATTGAAATTTAAAAGATCAAAGGGTTTTGACGAGAGAAAAAGAAAGAAAAAAAGGAAGAGGAAAGAAATAATAGAATTATAGAGAGGTTCTGTTTTTTTTTCCTATTCTGTCTCTAATTAAATAAAACAGAAACTCCATCCTTGTTTTTTCTATTTTACTTTCCATCTTGAATATTTATCATATAAATTTAATAACATTCTTTAGCTGTTAATTGATATGAAATTTCTCCATTAAATCTTTATTATAGTAGTATTATTTTTGAAAATAATGAAATTAACTTATGTAAATGATTTTTATCTTTTACTTCTGATGATTTGCCACATTTTTAGAAGAAATTTAATGTTCTTAATAAAGAGAGTCACTATTTTTTCAATTAATATACATGTTGAATGGTATATAAAACTAGGGGGCTAGTCAAAGTTAGTTTTTTATATTATAAAATTTTTATTGCCTAAGCGACTAGGTGCCCCAATGTTGCCCAAAATCGCCTAGACACCTTGAAAACTATGAGTTCAAGCGACTGAATAAGTGAATTTCCTAAGGGGGGTGGAGACTTTATCTAGTTGCAACACGAGTAAGAGAAGATCTGGAAGAACAGCCGAATGGGTATGGGAGACCCATAAATATGAGAGATATAGACCAGTGTTTTAAAAGGTGTGGGAGGCGTACGCCTTCAGGCGAGGCGCTCCCAAAACGCCCCGGGGCCTATGCCAGAGGCGCTGACACCTCTGAGGTGTACGCCTCAGATGTAAGAGGCGTACACCTCATGCACATCTTATATAAAATGACAGAAAAAAAGAAGAAGAGAAAAAGGAAAGGAAAAGAAAAGGGAAGGGAAAGAAAAAGAAAGAGAAGAAAAAAAGAGAAAAAGAAAGAAAAGAAAAGATAAGGACAAAGAAAGTGGTTTGCCCCTTGCCCCTTCAACTGGGGGGCTTCGCCCCTTCCCCCTTTTCGATGCATACCTAATTTGTTTTTTTTTTGAGTTAGGGGGTCTTGCTCCACTTCGACAAGACCCCTTTCTACTAATGTTATGCATCTTTATTCTTCTTAATATAAAAGATTTTTATTAAAAGTAAAGAAAAAATCAGATCCCCGCTTCCTCTTCATCCTCCTAACCCCCCCTCCTCTTAAGGAGGCTTACGCCTCCTTGTGTTCGGGAGGCTTACACCTCTTGCGTTCTGAACTATGCTTCACGCCTCTAGGTAGTGGAACGCCTCGCATCACGCCTCCGTGTTTTAAAACATTGTTATAGACTTAAGAAGTCTGTCACAAAATCTGGAGAATCTAAGATTGATGGAAAGAGTATTTATCAAAAAAAAGATTGATGGAAAGAGAGATCAAGGTGATGGCTCTATGGTTCTGTGGTTCTTTGCCCTGGCTTGGAATGTTGCAGTGTTCATGATTCGGATTTGTCTTTGGTTGTTTATGACCAAAGGCTAAAGCATCGACTCAGGTGGGGGGCTGCAACTTGGGTGTTCCTTCGGATGTTGGCACAAAGGAGGGTTGATATGGAGGCGATGGATGGGGCGGGGGACATTGTGGTTAGATCAGAAGGATTAGTGGAAAGAGGTGAAATTTCAAGCGAAGTTGCCGTTGGAGTGGATGAAAGGGATGTGGCAGTGAATGTGGAAGAAGTCTGCCAGTCTCAGGGTCTTGAGTCAGGTTTTGTTCATTTTGAGGTCAAGGAAGTGTTGATCGGCAGGATAGGAGTGGATCTTGGCCTGTAGGAGGAGGTTGGTAGAGGAAGAGAGAAGGGTGGCACTGTTATCACGAATGCTAAGAAATCTCATGGATCACATAACTCTCATATAGTGCAAATGACTAAAGTCTTCTTGCAGTTGAAGGAAGGATTAGTGGGGGCAGGGCATACGAACAAGTATAAAAGGATTTTTAAGAGGGGGGGAGCCAAAGGTGTTGATATTTGAAGCATGATGTGAGGAGGATTAAGTTCCTCCTGAAGTAAAAACTCGGTCAGGGGCTACTGTTTCAGAGGAAAAAAAGGTAGATGGGCTTAATTCTGAGACAAGGACTCAGGATTTGTCTCCAGTTGATAAAGTGCTGAGGCAAGGAAGTGTTCCCATTGAAGATCTTGTTAACAAAGATGTTAATGTGGGTAAGGGGCTTGGGTTGTTTTTTTGGGGAAGAGAGGAGTTTGCCAGAAAAGCTTCTGAGGAGTTTGAAAAGAGTAGGGAAGAGAGGTCAAAGAAATTGATGGTCAGAGAAGGTGGAGAAAGTTGGAATGAGGATGATTCAGGCGGAAGGAAGTGTTTGAAGGAGAGGATTAGGTTGTCTGAGTCAAGGGTTCAATGAAGTTTCTTTTGCTGAAGTTTTGCTCGTGTTTTTAGGGGGTCTGTGGTTGGTAGTCTTTCTTGTCATTAGTTTGTGTGGCCTTTGGTCTTTTCTTTCTTCTTTTGGGTGATTTCTTATCACCTTCTTGTACTTTCTTTTTTTGGTTAATGAAATCTTTTCTCTTTTGTCCTTCAAAAAAAGGTGAAAAGAAAATGAATAATTTGATTAGATGTGTTTCATCATTTTTCTATTGGTGACATTGTTGGAAGCTGATAGATTTTGGCCTCTTTATCCTTGACAAGGTGATAGTCCTTAGTTTCCTCCATCTACTAATTATATCAAGTTAATTTATGATGGTGGTGTGTAAGGAGATCACAGTGGTCATATTTTGGCCGTATTTTCTGGCCCCATTGGATATGGAGATTCCTTTAGGGAAAATTAATGGTTATACCACATGGTCTAAGATTTAGAAAATCTCTAAAGTCTATGATAAGATAGTGGTGGGATGGTTGGTTCAGGTCCTTGGTCATGCAGTAAGGGAGGTGAAAAGGAACAGTAAAGGATTTAGGAATGACCTTTGTATGGATAAAGACCAACTAATGGTATGACTGATGTATTGGCAAGAAAAGGAGTGAATAGGAATCAATTGTATGTGGTCCCAGGGCATAAACTTGTGAAAAGGGATCAGGTATAAGGTTCACAATGGCCAAAGGGTCAGGTTTTGGTGTGCTGACAACCCCTAATGGACATCTTTCCCATTCTGTTTTTAATATTCCCAAGTAGGAATGCATTGGTTGCTGAATGTTTTGAGGTGCAAAAGTTACAAAATGGGGAGGTGCCGTGGACCCAACATTAAGAGGAAATCTAAATGATTGGGTAGTGGAAGAAATAGTGGATTATTGGATTTATACTTATTGCAAAAAATGAAACTTGATACTATTCATAAAAAGGAAACCTGATACAAACAATGAGGACAAAGGACAGGATGGTATGGAATTTTGAAGCTTCAGAAGCATTTTCCATTAAATCCCTGGTTTGTTCTATTCAATATCAGCCCTAAGCTTTCTTTCCAATCTCCAAAATTTGGATATGCCATAGCCCTTTCAGAGGGGGCATTCATGATGTGGTCAGCTGTGTGAGGTAAGCATCTAACAAGAAGTCCAGAACCAGTCTCAAAAGAAGACGGGTGTCATTGGACTCTGTTCAGTTGTCTTGTGTAATCAAGCTGAAGAGTTAGCAGATCGTCTTTTCATCTGTTGCTGCTTCTCATATTCTATGTGGGTTAAATTTGTGCGCTGTGAGGGACTGAGGGGGTGAACAGGTGTTTTCCAGCATCTTTGGAGAAGGTGCTTTTAGGCTGGCAACTGAGTGGATTAAGCAGGAACGGAAGGATCATATGGAACACAGTCCAGGCTGCAATCATCTGGAATATTTGGAGAGAAAGGAATACCTGAATCTTTGAAAAGGATTTAAGCTCAGAGGAAAAGATTTTGCAGATTGCAGAGTGCTTGGCTCCCTTTTTTCCCTGGTTTTTTTAACACAAAGATCTTAAAGAAATTCCTTTTAACTTTGTTTTTTTTTTATTTTTTTATTTTGACAACCTCTTTCCTAGATGATATATACCATTTGTACAGTCTTAGGATACAGAATCTTGTATACAGGGGGCTATACTTAGGTAATTACTCTTCAACTATAGTAATTCACTTCTCTTTACCTTTTCCAGAAAAAGGATTTTGTTCTCGAAAGAAGGGTTTTTTTAATCAAACTAAAAATGTTTCCATTTTGTTTAATGAAAACATGCATCCAAGAACACACTATGGATTTTTGCTGATGTGGTGTTTCTAGAAGCCAAAAGAAAAAAAAAGAAATGAAAAAAAAAAATTCATGCTGAAAATACCCCTGCATTAAGGGGATGTTCAACAACATGGTTGGTTTTATTTTTGAAAACAAAAACAACTGCCACATCAGGAGAGAATTATATTGTTTTTGCTGATGTGGTTGTTGTTTTTGTTTTCAAAAACAAAATCAACCATGTTGTTGAACACCCCTAAGTGTTATAGATTTTAATCTCTATTGATACTATTACTGTCCTTGTATTAGTTCTTACAATGCTGTAATGATGTTCCCACACTCTCAAGAAAATGATGATAATATTTCCCAAGTAATATCTTGCCTTTGTTTCAGTGTTTGGAAAAGTGAAGGATTTCTTAGGAATTATGGCAGAAGCTAATAGAAGATTGCAGTTTGATGTACAGGTAGACACACTGATCTTATGCTCGGAGAGTATCCCCATCTGAATTCCATCCCTCCACTCTATTTTCTGATTTATGTGTAAATATTCCTCGAGTTTTAGGAGAAATCCTGTACAGACTATGATATTGAAGTGCTTACGGGGAACGAAACTCAATACATAGAAATGGTAAGTGATTGTTTTGAGTGCTTGTCTGCTTGATAGCCTAATTGCTTCAACAATGGATATTGACTGTCATCTGTTGAACAGGATTTGATGCTTGGTGTTGCTAATCTTCACACTCCAGAGGCAGTGGAAGCTGCTGAATCTGCAATGGCTGGTTCCCAACCGATACATAACTTATCTCCTAGCAGTAGTGAATCAGATTCAGATGATAGCAGTGACAAGTCTACCGACGATAACTACAATGCTGATGAGAACGCTGACATATCCTCCTTGAGCAAATCTCAAAAACCAAATTTGGATGGGGGTGAATCTTTAGGTGGTGATCAGCCAAAAAAGCGGCCCAAGATTATTGAGCTGAAGTGAGGCATTATGGTTGGAAATCCTGGATTCTGCAGCTCATGACATTTGGGGCAGAAATGAGAAACCAGATACAAAACAACTAGCAGGGGTAAAAGGAAGCTAATCTTTTCTTTTTTCAAGGTGTTTTGGTAAATTTACATATGAATGAAGTTGGTCAAGGTAAATTTGGTATTTAAAAAATTAATGTATTACATCAGCGTTTTCTATTGAGAAAAAACCTATTGGGGAAGGTATTTGCAGCTTTTTTTCAAAACTACAGGGGAGGTTTATAGGATTGTCAGAAAACCCAAGTTTTTTTTTAATTGTCACTATATTTATATGAAATTTAAGTGAATTAAACTAATTTTTAATTTAATAAATTTTTATTACTTTTATTATTTATTTATTAATTCATATTAATTTATACTACACGAAATTGAATTTAAATGCATTTTTTATTAATCCTTATTAAATTTAATTAATTGTATTAAGTCTTTTATTTTCAATAGAATTTAAGTTTGTTTTAAATTAATATAATTTAATTATAATTAAATTAAACTAACATAATATAATTGTTATTTACTTTATAAAAAATTAAATTCTATTTAATAATAATTTATAACCCATTTATATTCAATAGTAGATTATTAAGCATAATAATCTCTCTTATATTTAAAAGATAATTAATTTTAAGCTAATTAATCAAGTAAACTCTATTTCAGAATAAATATTATTACTTCCCTCAAAAATAAAAATACTAATATTTGAAATGTAAAATTACATCTAATTGTAATTATATGTTTATAACCAATTTAAATTCCATTTCAAACTTAAAAATTATAATTTAAAATCCATTGAATATACTTTCATTTAATTATACTTATTAATGAAAATGTATAATTATTAACAAAATAATTATATACAACAAAAAGTATTAATAAAAAATCATCACTTTTTAAAACTATTCAATAAGAAAATTTAAAATTAATTACCACAAATAAAACATTACAAAAATTAGAATCCATTTACATTCTGTTTGAAAATAAAAAAAATTAATTATTAATTGCCATTATTGATAACATAGTTTTTATTAATAGAATAAAATAACTACATTAATAAAAAGTACTAAAATAAATTGAAAAATAATACCCATTCAAAATTCATTTAAGATTAATATAAAATAAATAGGAAATTGTATAACAAATATTAGTTTTATAATTGTAATTTGATATAATTTTTTATTACTAATTATAATCTAATGTAAATATTAATCTAATGTAAATATCAAATTACAATTATAATCTAATTGTAATTTGATATAATATTAGTTTTATAATTGTAATTTGATATAGAANCATCCGAAATTTTCTTATCTAAAACATACATTCCATCATGTCACTATTAGTGACCATTAACGGTGGTTGTCCACATAAGCCAAAAAGCTTTTTAATGACCAAAATAGCCCTGAAATGCCAGTCAAACCAGACACATTTTTCGTATTTGGATCTCCTACCCGCAAATTAATCTCAGATATCCCATTTGTTATTTATATTTTTAATTGGATTTTTGAAAAAAAAAACAGAATTAAATCTATACTATATATAAAAGTGGGAATGCAATGCAAAACTTTTTTTGGACTAAAAGTATCCTCTACTTTTTTGTTTGAGAAAAGGTATAAAAGCCATTTTATTACAGCTTTAATGTTGGTTTTAATGGTTACTAAAATATAATTTCAATTATTACATTCCACATCATTTAATTCCCTCTCATTAAGTCTTATACTTAAATTATTAGCCTCCTATTTTCTCTTATTAAATTAGATATTTGTCAATATTTTTAACAATATAAATTCATATATTTTTAAAACTGACTAAAAAATAAACCATTTTTAATCCAAGTGATGGCTAAAAAATTCAACCATCTGAATCAAATTGATCAACCTACAAAGTCATAGTTGGGTAATAAAATTTTTAAATAGAAATAAATATTAAAAACTTACAAAAATATAGTAAAATTAGACACAATTATGACATTTTTATTAATCAAATTAAAAAATAAGTTTAATAAACAAGAATATTTTTATTGGTAATGAAAATGAAATACATAATTTATATCTGAACAAAAATGAAATTATTTTACACTTTGGCAAAGATCAATAGTTCAAATTTTGGGTCAAACATGTTAACATTTAGTGTTATAATTAAATAATAAAGTTAATAAAATATAAAAATATAAAAGTGAAAAAAATACATAAATTTTACAAAAAGAAACATTTAGGAATATGTATAATATCCTATATTTATCATATTAAACAAAAAAAGTAAGTGTGACATATTAAAATTATTTTTACACACAAAAATACAAAACGAGCTATAAAAAAAAATTGAATACATCTGTAATTCTATATTTACACTACTATTGAAAGTATAAATAAGATTGTGAAACTTTCTTTTGATTAAAACATTCATTTTTAAATTTTGTCCCTACTTAATTATTAGGTTTAAATTGTAAATTGAACTACTACTTTTCACCCCATTCAATTCCTCTATTTAAATCTTACATTTTTTTGATAAATAAACAAGAGAAAGATTAAATATTACAAAAAGAAGAATTTAACCAAGCAAGTAGGTTTATCAATGATATTTGAAACTTCACAATTCTGTCTGATCATCACATATTTGGATGAGGTGTTTATGTAATCAGATTTGGATTTGCAATCCACATCCGATTAATAATAAAAAATAAAAAATATATAAGGTTTATAAAAAAAAATTTGGGTGCATTATTACTATCATTATCATTATCTAGAATTATCATGTGCACGCTTACAAACATGAATGAAATATATGAATTTTGGAGATTTAGAGGAATACTATAACTGAAAAAAAAAACAAGACAAGAAATCAAGGATGAAAGTAAAGCTAAGAGGAAATAGAAAACCCTAAAAAATGGAAGTAGAAGACAGAAAAGTGAATGTTGCATGCTCTGTGGCTTAAGAAACCTCAAGGGGAGTGAGGGAGAGATTACTGAAGTGTACAAATTTTAGTTACTCCCAAAAGGAAAAGAAATGATTAAATTATTGACCAAATGTCTTTCTCTTCATGGCAAAGAGATGCAATTTACTGAAGCGAATGCCATTAAAATGCATGCATTTGGTTCGAGACAAAATCATGCACTCTGGGTTGGGCTTACCTATCACGAGTGAACATACCAATGTTCAATACAGATGAGGCCCACAGTGAACAATGGCATGTTCGCTCATGATAGGTAGCCCAGTCCAGTATGCATGATTTTGTCTCCAGTTCATCCCGTTCCGTGAAATGTCGGTGTTGGTTTAGTAAACATCTAAGCCACATCTCCTAGGATATCAACTGTGGCGGTTTTCCTTCATTGGACGTCTGTTTTCTGGTATCACTGATCAGTTTGAAGAAATTGAAAATTCTCTATACCATTTATGGCGTAGGGATGAAGAGAGCCTCCTTGTTTTTCCTTATAATGACGAGGATATTTTAGGTTAAGGTTTAGACTGTTTAATGTTCAATGGGTCATTTTGGAAAGAGTATAAATACAAATAGGTAGTGTAAATACATAAAAAATACAAGGTTTTGCACTCTACATATTTGTATTTGTACTCCTTCCAAACTGAGTCTTAGGCTGTGTTTGGTTGCAGTGCAAATTTATTTGCACTAGTACAAATGCATGGGAATGTAAATGTAAAAAATGCAAATTCTTGTTTAATTTTGTTTTGGAATTTATTTTATTTTGCTTCATGTCTTAATTTACTTCATTTATATTGCAATCAAACAAAATAAACTAAAATTTGAAATAAAAATAGATCAGAATTTACAAATTTATTTACATTGCAACCAAATACGGCCTTAGGAAAATTGAGGTTTGGATCCATATCCATGATGTGCTTGTTGAAATCCTATCTGTTGATGTTGGTTGACACTTGGCTGATAGTATTGGTCCGGTTAGAACTGTCACAGTGATTTACAACTACATCCGAGCTTGTGCTGTGATTTCTGTAGGTGTGTTCTTTAGTCAAGATAATTGGCTTACTTTTTGGTTCAAGGATTTACCTTGGTTTTTTATTTGTGTCACTGTGTGGGCACTTGTTTCTAGGTTTGCAATTTGGGCAGGCCTAACCTGAGCCTGAACCATCAAGCAATTCAACCCATAATTTTATATGGGCTGCGCTAGGGTCGTCAGGCTGGACCTGGGACCAAAACCTCGGGCTTTTGATCTTTTTGGGTTGGGCCTAGCTTTCCTAGCTTTTAGGTAGCCCGAACCCGGTCTGTGCTTATCCCAATCCGAGTCCGACCTGATTATATACATATTTATATGTATATATGTATATATGTATAATTTTTTAAATAAATTATATATATATATATATATCAACTTTTAGTATGAGCTAGATTGACTAAGATGAGCCCAATCCGGGCCTGGGCTCAACCCCAAGTACATCAAATATCAGTGTGGGCTTGGCTCTGGTTGAATAATCCGGGTTTGACCTCGGGCTCGGACTTTGAGCCCAAATGTTAGAGTTGGGTTTGGGTTAAACTAAAACTCGAACTAACACGCCCGACTTGCACCCTACTTGTTTCATCGTTGCTCTATTCCCCGACCACACACTGGTGGCCGATCTTATGATGGTTATTTCCAAAACCGCTCCATGAACCATCCCGGTCCTTGGTATGATGGCTATGCCTTCTTGAAAGGGTTCTATGGACAGGAGTATAACAAGTAATTACAAAAAAAAAAAAGGTTTGTTGTTCACCCTATGATTGTACAAATAAACTCCCATCTCCTATTAAGTGTTCTATGGACAAAAGTAAAACAGATAATTATAAAAGAAAAAAAAAGTTTATCCTTAAGCCTATGAAAACTACAAAGTCCTCTCTTAGTCTTCACTATCCAAGTATGACTCACAAAAAGAGTGGATGTGCATCCATTCTTGGAATCAATGACAAGGATCAACATTCCTTGACTCAATTTGGAAGAAGTACAAATACAAGTTCTTAGAGTACAAAACCTTGCATTTTATATTATTTTGTATGTATTTATACTATACATATTTGTATTTATACTATTTCCAAACTGTGCTCTTGATCTAGATGGATCGTTGTAGGAATACATTGGTGAGACAAAGCAATACACTCAAGCATGGTTTAAAGTATGGATACACTCGATACATATGAAAGGCGTATTAGGTTTTTCGATGCTTTATAACTTTTGCTAGATATATTTC